TCACTTGGGTTTCAGTCAGTTTCTTCACCTGCTGTGTGCTTACATTAGAAGGCAGGCAGGCTGTTAAGTCCCTACTAACCAAAGAAATAAGGGGAGAGGAGCTGAAATTGCAGGGGTACTGTTGTGAAAGATACATTTCCCCACAGTACATGCAGTTACAAAGGTGCTTTTTTAAATCACCTTTATTGCTTGTTACTTTAATGTCCATAGTCTGTGCACTGGTGTACAAAAAATGTGTTTGGCAAAATTATTCTATACTGAGGAACCCTGGCAGCTTTTAATAAAGGACTGGTCTCTCCATATTATTAAAAACTATTAGAGTATATAATTAATATTCCAAATTGTTTAAAATTGTATTTTCTTAACACAGAATAGTTATTCATTACTATTAGAATAGTAAACCTCCCTCATTAGTTACATGAGCTGGCTTTCTGGGGCTCTATCAACACCAATAAACAAATAAATAAATGAGCTTATACCGGTAGAAGTTTTTTAATAAAAGATTTGCATGGACAGCCACCATATAGCCACCATATGGGCAACTAGAGGACTCAAAGTGGGTTTCTAGTGTCCAACTAAAAGGAAAGCTAACATACCGAATGACACCAAGTGCACAGGCAGGGCTTTCTAGGCTACCAAACTGGTCATGTATTTGTTGACAATAGCTACATCCCTACATGTATTTCAATTGTAGTAATAAGTGCTTCTTACAATCGGACATAAAAAGCCATCATTTGTAAATAAGGTAGACATGCCAATATATACTTAGCTGTCAATGCAGTTCAAAATGGGAAAACATACTGAAATTTACATTTCCTTGAACAACTAGAAGAATACAGGTCCACTGTTTTTGTATTGTAAAGGCCACCATCAAAACAACAGTAATTAAAGAGCCTAATTCACACGATGGCATACAACCTGAACTAAAATTGAAAAAGGGAGCTCATGCTTTATTTATTAAGAAAAACAGCAATCTGAAAAATTCTATAACCTTTCAGATTTCAAAACAGAAATCATACTTCATTGTTTGAAAGGTTCTAAACAACTTATATTTGAAACCAGCTGCATCGCCTGTAAGGCTTAGAGTATAACCTGGCTCATAGCATGTGTACTTGTATAACTATGACTGTTGGTCCTTCAAAAAGTACCAAGGGTTCTCTAAAAGCACTAATTCACTCAAAATTAGTTTCTACTAAGGTTTGCCATCAGTGTAACATGGCAACAGCTTTTATTATCTCTCGGATACCCTAGTAAAGAGCTCTCTTCCAAAGTATACTGTTCTCTTACTAACTATCACTTCTCCTGTTGCAGCTACAGGGGGAAGTTTACTGGTTCTGCTTTATTTTCCCTATTGTAGTATGTGTAAAACATCCTACAAAGGAATTCTCTCTCATTATTACCATGGAAGGTGAAGGCATGTGCAAAGTTCTCAATGGCAGAGGTCCTTGGAGAGCTAAAAAGCTGTTTCAATATTTAATTTAAGAGATAAAAGGCCATGCTCATCTGGATAGTGCCTGGTGCCAAATGTCCCCAAATCAGCAGGTTTAGAAAAAGTGTACTTAATCAAATATTTGTAGAGTATTGCTTGTATGCAAATATCAATCCATGCTTGTCATCAATCTAAATTGCTGGGCCCTCCCCAACAGGAGTGGGTCCCCGTCTAGGGTGGTGCTTTTTTGAAAACAGCTCCTGTGAAATTAAACACTTAGGAAACCTATATTGTGACCAATATGGGATTGCCATTGTTTAAATTCTTGAAATGCTTGAAAATGCTGGTTGCTCCTGGCTCCAATAATTTCACAAGTCACAAGTGGCTGTCGGCATACTTGTATAGAGACAGTGAATTCTTCATTACAGGTTTCCTTTAATGTTGTATTTACTTTACAATAACTTTTAATCCACGAAAATAACATTATGGGTTGACATTTGAATTTTTACTAAAAATCAAGTAGATTAGAGTGCAATACAACAAAACATTTATAATTTGTCTATTTTCTAGACAATAAAAGTTGCTTCATGAGTAGACACCATCATTACCTAAAAGAGTGGCCAACTTCATTATATCCATGTATAAGATAATTGCACCAATATCCAAAAACAAATTAGGTGCTCATGCCACTCAGTGAAGTCTAAAATACAGTCATATTAATCACAAAATCCATTGTTTTACAGTGTACACAGGGAGCTTTTTGTATGTATATTGTTTATAGCACAGGCAACTGAGGATACAAAAAAAAAGCTCAGCGAGTCACAGGCCAGGATAATTAACAAGGTAAAGTTGTAATCTACAAATAACATACACAGTAGCAGTGAAGTCTATGCACATGATGCATGATGTGCCAGCTGGCTAGCAGCTCCCTATTGTTTCATGTATAAATATAGAAATATTCTAGGTTTCTTAAAATAGCTCTGTATACCTGTATACTATTGCTGGAGGAAAACTGAAATTAGAGATGAACTGTTCCACCACAAACACATAACTGGCATCAGTTACTCCAATACAAAGACGGTCAAAAACCACACAAGGTTTTGAAATTATACTAAATGAGCTTAAATGAACACCAGAGTATGGACTGCACTTCCATCAGACACCCCCTGTGTTTGCATTTGGGTGCATTTGTCTGCCATTAATTTTGAGAAAATCTGTATGGTAAATGCAGGTGCAATGCACACTGCTGCATTTAATTTGCTTTAAAAACCCAGGAGGCCATGCAGCATTTGGGCTCACTTACATTAAGTTAAAAGCAGTAGGGTACACGCAGCCCAAGCCCCAGTGTACACATACCCTAATAGCTAAGGAATTATAGGTAAGAACTTCTGACAATTATGCAAATTGATGTTCATTTTAGTGAAAGATAATTAATTAAAAGGTAAACTGAGGTGAAAAGGAAATCACCAGTTGCAGCTGAATTTGTTTTGCAATGAAACAGCCACGTGAAGAAAAAAAATAGATAAGAAACATGAGTAAAATGCAACTGTGAACCACAGGTAATGACTATCCTAATTGCCAATAGCAGTGTTGGGTTGGGTATCAGATTATTAAATTATGGAAAAAAAATGCTAAAGTTTTACTGGCTCACTGCTGTAATGCTGCCCAGATTTTGCCTATGCTACTGTAACCTTTCTGGTGACACTGAAGGTTATCTGGCTTCTTAATATTCAGCAAAATACCAAAAATAGAAAATGTGTGCTTTGGTGACATCTGCATTCCTGCTGTAGAATACACACACCGGTGACTTATAAAGCATAATTAAATAGCCTCCAAAAATATTTTACTGTTTTGTTTATTCATTTTTATTTCTACTTTATATCCTGTAGCTTAACTATCTTATTGTGCAACAGTTGCATAACAATGTAAAAAAAGTAGCATAAATACTACTGCCATTGATGTATAAACCTACTGTATGTACTGCACATGGTCTAATGCAGGAATGTAAAGAATAAGCTTGTCACTATCAGACCTCAATTCTGAAATGTCACACATATGTAATTTACTAGGCTCTACTGTAAGTATCTAATTATTTTCTTCACACTGGTGGCAGTGAGTCCTTGTTTCCCTTAATTTACTTTTGCTTTGAGAGACTGGCTGTGGATGCATTATGCTCAGCAATGTCAGAATTCACTTTCACATACTGTTTCTCATGGCTTAATAGTGTGACCAGCTTAAAATGAATTATCAATACTCATACTTTATGGACTGCAGGTACTACTAGGTACAAGTTAGCTCAGGTGGCTGCTATGCAGTGTACCTGCCAGGACTTTGTTTCGTCATTTGAGTTAAACATCTTTAGCACAAACCTGATAAAGCTTAATGCATAGCCTATTGATTTTTCTCAGTAACACAATGCTTTGATACATCATTTTTGACCTAATCAAAGTGTTATACTAGTAAGCATCTTCTGCGGTGACTCCAAATATGAGATGACATTGATAATAAATAGCTAGCCTGATGAAACACAACACTTAGATATTACTCATGCAAATCAAAGCTAGCAAAAAAAAAAGTGGAAAGCAAATGCACATGACCTTTGTAATCTGCTAGAACAGGTAATTTGTATTCTTAACCAAATTGCTAGCAAAGCACTCTGCAGTCTCCAGTTATATTTATTACCTGTGTGTTATAATGTGCAGAGTATGCGCTTATGAGGACCACAGAAAGCAAAGGATAGATAAATAGTTAAATCCCCCTAGCTCTTTCAGTAACTACATGCTCACTTCATATATAAATACACATGTACACGGAGTAGAGCCAATACTGAGATCATAATTTTGCATTACAGAGAATAACCTGACACTGCCAAGGAAGTCATGCTTAACACAACCCTCTGTGACCCTAGCTACAGCTTGAATTGCCAGGAACACTGTGATGAACTACCATGCTGCACGCACAGTGAAAGTCTGAGCACTTAAAAGAACAGGTCATCAAGCTTTTAACCTAACCTGTGTTAGACAAGCTGCTCAGCAGATGATTAAGATGTGCATTTTTTGCATCAGGAGCTTTTGAAGATGACAGTTCTCACTACAGTTATCAGAAGCATCTATTAGTGTCAAAATAACACAAACACACCTTGAAAGTAAAGGAGAGCAGGTATCAGTAGCAGAGCGAAATGAATATTTACCTTACTCCTAATTTCGGATTCCTGCAAGTCCTTTCTAAATTGGCTGTTCTGCCTGAAAGGCATTCTCCTGATATCTTCCTATTCCCGTCTATCCCTCCTTCCCTTCTGCGCTTTCTCATTTGAAGCATGCTTTTTTTTTTTTTTTTTGTAGACTTGCCTTTTTATATGCTTACTGGCAGCAGGTCTTTTTTATCTCTTTTCAAAGCCACCTCTGAATAAAATGGAAGTAACTTCTAAATGTCATTGATGCTGCATGCAAATGATGCATCTTTCTGTGGCATGGAACAGAATGCTAGGCTACTATTTCCCTGGAATGAACTGCTTTACAAATAATCCACTGCACAAAAGAGTCCAAAAATAATAACTGCTGAATTATCTTACCTTTATTTCTCTTCTTGTGGAGCCAAATGACGAATTATGTAAATCCCCTGCGCGTTGTGTTAAGCTGGTACCTGCTCCCAGAGACATGTGCTTGCTTCTGTCACAAGGAGAACTTAGTGATGCTCTGCTTTGGGCAGACTGAGATGGAGTAACAGCAGCTCAGTGCTATCAGGGGCTCTGAACTGCTGGGAGAACATGCTCTGTGGTCTGACTAGCTCATCTCACAATAGGAAAAGGCAGCCCAGTGACTTTGCCTGTTTTCTGTTTCTCCTGGATACAGCAGCTGCTAATCAAAGGAAATCCAAAGCTTGAGCATCCTTATTGACAGGAGGTGCAGATGGAGTCCTCTGTATAAAATCAGTAGAGGGCTATGAAAAGGGGGTGGGACAGACTCCTATCTATCTCATGTGAACTATTTGCATTTGAAAGAGCTTCAGGAAAGAGTTTAAGATTTTTTTTCCTAGCTTGTCATTAGGAACCGTGATCAATTGAGCTCCTGAGGCACGAAGCCAGAGCCAGAAAAGCGAACTAACAACTTAGATGTTTTTTGCTTTATAGTTTTGCCCTTTCAATCTCTCCAGCGTGCCCTAGTTCCACTCTCCTTACTTCTGTATATTTTGCACCCTGCTGTGTTATCTGGTGTAAAATCCCACTGTATGATTTAGTCTCAGTATGATACTCATCTTCAAGAGAGAGTCCTGTGTCTAAACACTTTCGAACAATAGAATCAGGTTAGGTATACAGAGCTGCTGAAAATACGGTGCCTATTGCTCCAGTTTCCTCTTGTATTGCTATTGTGAGTGCCAGAGAGATACAGGAGAGGCACTGCAGGATAATTCACATCTGCTTTATCTTTGCAACATTACATTGTTTTATGTCCTTATTTGTTTTTATGTTCCTTCATTAAATACTTTCAAACTTTCTGTACCTGTGTAGTCAATACATACATCCATACAAATGCAACAAATACATAAATCCATTACAATGCAACAATTACATTGGTCTATGCACAAATATTTGATTCTTATGTCACAAAGTGACATATTTGTAGCACATTGCCTGAATGTAAAATGTATCTAAACCCCCAAAACAAACATTTTATATCCTGTGATTTACCAGTCCTTTAGGCTTCAGTCACACTGGCCACTTGCATTTTTGTCCTCTATATGCAGAAGAAAATCTGTAACGCTGAATGCGTCTAGATGCTTTAAATGACCAGCATTTACATGTGTTTATGTGCATTTACATGCATATGTGTTTATATGCATCTGGTACCAAATTCTAGCATCAAAAAATGTGTTTTGGTGTGTTTACATGCATTTTGGTGCGTTTAGAAGTTCAAACTGATTTCTAGATGCACCTGACTTCTATTTTTTGAGAACACAGATAAGCTGAGCATGTTCGGCCGACCTGAAGCCACATGAAGCCACCCGATGTACGGCTGATTTCAGTAGACATGTGCACCAGCAAAAAATTTGTTTAGCATTTGACAGCTGAGAATGTCAAATGGGCGGAGCGAGCCGTGACGCCATGGCTCGCTCCGCCCATCTTTTAGTGAATGGGTAGGGGTACAAGTACCCCTTACTCATGCACATGGGGGGGGGGGCGGCATCTGGGTGCCCCCTTATTTAAAGCGGTACCCTGATGCAAATAAGTTCCCTTGCCTATGGCAAGCCTGTCCTCTAACCACTACTCTATAGCCTCTGTATTTTAAGCATAGATGTGTTGTAGAGCTAAAATGTTGTCATTTTTTTCCCCTAATGTCATTTTGCTGCAACGAAATTCGTCCAATAATGAATTTCGGGAAATCGGGAATTTCGGATTCGTTTGCATTCATCTTAGCTGTAATTCGGAATTCGGATGCATCCGAATCTCCGAATTTCCGAAAATTCGTCCGAAACGAATTTCGGAACGAACCGAATCGCACATGTCTAGATTTCAGCCGGTATATGGCTGAAATCAGCCTTACCAGCCTGAAGTGAATAGCCGAACAGCGTATATATATATATATATATATATACATACATACATTGACACACACAAAAGTATGTGTCCAAGAGGGGAGAAAGGCATGGCACAATCTATGGCAAATGTCCCCCGCCTGTGTCCCCCTGTCCCACTTTATATCTCACCTGACCTTCCTTCAAGCATCCCTCCCTCTGCTGTTACTCTACTTCCTTTCCAGCATGCCCCTTATAATCCTTTTGTCAGTCATCAAAACCTTCCTTACTGTTCCGTGCATTTGATGGGTGCCTTATGCAAGTGTGTAGGCAATATGAATACTTTTATGTGTACTTTAGCTTTTCTTTTGTGACACACCTTGCATAATATAAATACTGTATAGAGGTTGCTCATTTTTGCAACTAGATCCTGACCTCTGAATGCAACTTATATCTCTGAACCGTGCATGCCTCCATCACTCAGCTTACTAATATATACTACTATGTATGTTAAAGAAGAACTTCAGGCAAATAAAATCTCAATCCTTGTAGTGGGGCTACCCATGCACTGCAAGGGTTAAGTGCGTATTTTGCCTTTCACCCCTGTGCTCCAGTGGTCCATATTACCTAAATATTCATAAAGATGCAAAAAGTTATTTTTTATGCAGATATACAGTATTTGCATTTACATACCAAATGAAACATCTAAAAGGGAGTAAGTTGATCTCTTCGGACACCCATGATTGTTAAACTATCACAACTGAAAATACATTTTTTTGTTGAAGGGCATCTAAACCCAAAAACAAAAATTTAATATAATACAGCTTACCAATCCGTTACTTTCACCTGATGATCCTGCCAGTAACATACTTTCTGTTGTAGAGTGGCTATACTCTACATCTATCTATCGATCTAGATGTAGCCACTCTTTGCCTGCATCATTGTCAACCTGTTGAGAGGGTAAATAGACAAGAAGATTTTACATGAATGACTAACAAATTAAAACCTAACTAGTTAAAAATTTGAAGTAGTTACATAAACTGTTTTTTTTTATGTTTTGGGGTAAAGATTGTAAGCAGATGAATAAAAACTAACCATTGTAAGCCTCTCCTGTAAATGTTAAATTGTTTGTCTCAACGCCAACTTTCACTTTTGCTGTACAGCAGGGTCTGTTAAAGGAAGTTGAACAATAACAGACTTACTGGCAGTATCAACAGGTGAAGATTAATGAAAAAAAAGCCAAAAGATATAGCTATCGCATTTAAGGATTGATAAGTAGTGATGAGTAATCCGGCTTGGATTTTGTTTGCTGGGAAATTTGCTGAGCCCAGCCAGAAATCCCGGTTTGGTACAGGTTCTAGAGGACTGAACCCAGGGTTGCCTGTCCTAGCAACCAATTATGCTGTGCAGCCCAGTGTCATTGGTTGCTAGAGCCCTAAAAGCTGGGACACACAATGTCATTGGTTACTAGGCCACAGGTGGGGCACCGTAACAACCATTGATGCAATGGGGCCACCAACATCTTAGCAACCATTGATGCTGTGCAGGCCAAACCGCTTGTCCGTTTTACCAAAATGTCAACAGCTTGGGATTGGCTTGAACTCATATAGGACTCGGACCAGAAGCTTGTCCCTACTAGTAATCCACTAAATATTATATTATCGTTTCAGAGATTAGATACATTTTGTGCTTCACATAGAGTGGGAAAATACTGAATCCCTGTCAGGTTTTTTTTGCTGTCTGTGCCCACTTGAAAATTTGTGCTGGTGACCATTGTTAGAGACACAAAAAGTGATAAGAATTCCAAGTTTTATGGTTGTCAGTAGGTCAAGAGGGGACAACTGAATAAGATGGGATATTGCTTCCCTTTGAAGAGGTTTCCTCTTACTTCCTGTTGTGACTTCAGGAAGTGAATGCAAATATCCCTAATGAGACACAGGCAGAAAAAAAAAAGATAATTATTGCTAATATACATTTATAAAATTCTGACATATTCTGAAAGTTGAGCGGTAGGGCACACTCTACCAACTAAATACACAGAATAAATACATATACTGTAAGGAAGCTGTTTTACCTGCTAAAGTATTTGTATTTCACTCCATCCAGTTGTGAGATTTACAGAGCTGTGCCACACAGCACAGACCTGTTTGGTAGGGCAGGAGACCTGATTTGTCTCTGCTGCAACTCAGTGACTCTAATAGGTCTACTCCCCACCCCTGTCCTGTGATTGGACAATAAAAGGAGAGTAGCAGATGGATGAGCTCATGTCTCTTTTATCCTGCTCTTAGGCCCTTCTATCAACATGCATTGTGCACTGTAGCACATCAAACTGGCACCTAGTTCTGCTTCCCCAGTCTGAACTCTGCTGTACAGATTCAGGTTCTTAAACTGCTTGCATTAAATATACATTTAAGGATGTATTCATGAATACCGAGCTGATGTCTTTTATTTCTACTTGAAGTTTAGCTTCAAGTACTGTGAGGTGAATTTATCATTACCATCAGTCTTTTCTTTAGAAGCGCTTACACGTATGCCTCCCCTGCAGTCATAAGCTGTTTCAACTACTATCACTGGCGGAACTACCAGGGTCACAGCGGTCGCATTTGGGACTGGGCCCTGGCGTTCCACCACTTGGGGGAGCCAAGCGAGGAAGAAGAGGGCCCCGTGAGCAGGGGCAGACTGACCATTCGGGCCCGTCACACGGTGGCATAGCATGAGGGGGCCATCACCCAGTGGCATAGCGTGGGGGGTCCATCACCCAGTGGCATAACGTGGGGGGGCCTGTGGCCCAGTGAGATTTGGTCCGGCACCAGCAATGACCCACACCATCCTCCCCCCTCTCCCATTGCAGGTGGACTCGGCTGCCGGAAGGTCTTCTTCATACAGCGTCGGGCGCAAGGCAGAGGCGGAAGTACCGCCGGTGAGGGCCCGAGCCAGCACGCAAGGAGAGGAGGAGGAGGGGGGCACCATAGTACCAGTGGCAGGATAGGGGAATGAATGGTGGTGGGCACCGGGCACCATCCGCTTGGCCGCCCTGCAAGTGATGGAGAGAGCCGCACACTGGGTGTAATTGTACCACAGGCAGCGCTGGGGTCTTGGCCAGGAGCA